CAGGATCGGGGCGGTTGGGATGGCCCCGTGGGATGGGGCAGTTTGGGATCACCATGTAGGATTGGAGTGGTTTGGGATGACCCCACAGGATGGGGCAGTTCCGGATAACCCCACAGGATCGGGGTGGTTCCAGATAACCCCACGGGATCGGGGCGGTTCCAGATAACCCCACGGGATGGGGGTGGTTCCGGATAACCCCACGGGATCAGGGTGGTTCCGGATAACCCCACGGGATTGGGATGGTTCCGGATAACCCCACAGGATCGGGGCGGTTCCGGATAACCCCACGGGATCGGGGCGGTTCCAGATAACCCCACGGGATGGGGGTGGTTCCGGATAACCCCACGGGATCAGGGCGGTTCCGGATAACCCCACGGGATTGGGATGGTTCCGGATAACCCCACGGGATGGGGGTGGTTCCGGATAACCCCACGGGATGGGGGTGGTTCCGGATAGCCCCACAGGATCAGGGCGGTTCTTGGTGACCCCATGGGATCGGGGCAGTTCCGGATAACCCCATGGGATCGGGGCGGTTTCGGATAACCCCACGGGATGGGGGTGGTTCCGGATAACCCCACAGGATCAGGGCGGTTCCGGATAACCCCACAGGATCGGGGCGGTTGGGGATGGCCCCGCAGGGCGCTCAGGCTGGCCGTGCCGCGCTCCCGTTCCAGGACACAATTCCGACGGGAAGTTCATCGCGCGGGCGCAGCGCATCGAGTACGACTGCGAGCTGCTGCCGCGGCGCGTGGCGCTCTTCGTGGAGCGCACCAAGGACGGGCAGGTGCTGCCCGTGCCCAACGTCGTGGTCAGGGACGTGGCCTGCGGGGCCAACCACACGGTACGGGAACGCGGGATAACGGGATAACGGGATAATGGGGATAATGGGGATAATGGGAATAACGGGAATGGGTCAGGGATGTGGCCTGCGGGGCCAACCACACGGTACGGGAACGCGGGATAACGGAAATGGCATTGGGATAACGGGAATGGGTCAGGGACATGGCCTGTGGGGCCAACCACACGGTACGGGAATGTGGGATAACGGGATAACGGGAATAACGGGAATGGGTCAGGGACGTGGCCTGCAGGGCCAGCCACGTGGTACAGAATGGGAATATGGGATCAGGAATGGGAATATGGGATCAGGAATGGGAATATGGGATCGGGAATGGGAATATGGGATCGGGAATGGGAATATGGGATCGGGAATGGGAATATGGGATCGGGAATGGGAAGGGGTGCAGGAATGGGGCAGTGGGAATGGGAATGAGACAGCGGGAATGCAATGGGAGAGGGGGAATGGGCATCAATGGGAGAGGGCAGCTCCCAGCCCCTGCTGCCCCATCCCAGCGGGGGCTGCTGCATTCCCAGGAATGGCTTCTCCTGGGATTTGGGATCTGGGATCTGGGATCTGGGATCTGAGGGTGTT